AACCGAGGAGAAGTAAAAAGAGAAGAGTGTCAAAAAGTTTATCATCTCATATTTTGGCCTAGGCAAATAATATTTTAGAAGTCATTATAAATCTAATTTATAAATTGTCTTTTCTATCTCATGGATATTGATGTTCTCTAAGTATAATATTTTTTCCTAATTTTATGGGCAGTGTAGATATAAAAGCAAGAAGAATTGCAATTCTTTAAAAAATTGAAGTATGTTGGTACAAGATAATTTTTTGGACTCTTAGGTGTCTGTTTTATAAACTAATTTTATCAAAGTCTTCTAAATATGTTGAGCTAGTTTATAATTTTTTAATCCTTGGATTTAAAAATATAAAAAGATTTATAAGGATTTTATGTAAAGGACTAAATAGTTGGCATAATTACTGTTGCGTGTTAGAAAATACGCGGCGGTAGAGTTTGTAAATTCGCGTCTGAGCGTTAACATGTTACTATTTCATTGATTTTTATATACTTTTATATTTATATATTCATACTGATAGTAATTGAATGACTACATGCATATTATTTATATTATATTATATTCATTTCAGCTGTAGGTTTCATAACCCATTGAGCTGTTAGCTTGCTCTATGGCTTTATATATTTTTAAGAAAGGGTTTGGGATCCAATGGAGAGATGATAGATTTATAATTTAGATTTTTTTTTTTTTTTTGAAAACCATTAATATATTAATACTAAAAAACGACAAAGGTTACAACATGAAAGTAAAAGAAAGAAAAATTAAAAATGGAAAAATATAGCCAAAAGGCAGGCTCAGCAATCAGCTAGGACTACCAACACCCCTGAAGACAAACACGGACCATCCAGTAGGTGGGAGAACACCAAAGGTTGCCACAAGCTGAACCACAGGGACGCGAGCTCGAACCACATCATAGCCCTTTTCTCATCACAAACATCCAATCAAACAGAATAAAAGCAACAGAAACCCGAAAAGAGAGGCCAGGACAAAACAACCAAAAAAGGACCATTAGTGTCTACGACGCCCTATCCCACAAAATCGCCCCCGAGATGCAGCAGTTATATTAGGTATAGTGCGAACCAAAGTGAAATCGTTTCCAGGGTCCAAACCCCCACAAAATTCCGGAGACGCCAAACCACCTTCATAAAATTAAGATTCTGATTCATACTCAGACGATCCGTTCAACCAATTAATATGGTTCCTAATGTCCAAACCAGACGAATCGCCCAACTGATTAACCAAAGCATGTGAATCCATCAAATTAACAGGAACCTCAATAAAATTATTGCTAACTGGATTACCCTCAACTCTCGCATCAGACGAAGGAGCCATAATAGTCGACGGTAAAGTAGGAGGAAAAAAAGGAAGGGAATTTGGTGAGAGACCAACCGTAACAACATCAGAAACAATGTCGCCAGCCCCTAACCCAACAGAGTCCTCCACAACAATTACATTCTCCAACCCGCCATCAACGACAAGTAATTGAGCAAGTTCGGGTTCAGAAACAACAGGAGAATTCACAACACCACCCATACCCAGTACCTGAGCAAGTTCGGGTCCAGGAACATCATCACCAGCAGCCAAAATAACATGTGAAAACCCACCCGCAGGCTCAACAGAGGGTAAAGCCTCAAAAACAGTCTCAGAATTTGCAGCAACATTACCCAAAATTTCTGTCACAGAAGGGGCAACACCCTTATCGACATTAACAGCACAAATAGGAGATAGAATATCAACCGGAATAGACGAAACATTATGATTCCCAGAAGCAGTATCAGGACGACACTTACCCGATACATGCCCTAAGCATTTACAAAGAGCACAAAATTGTAGAAAATCCTCTAACACCACCTCCTGAACATAACCTAATGAATTAGAACCTAACCAAACTTGCTTAGGGTAAGTTTTAGTAACGTCAAGTTCGACTAAAACACGAGCATTCGACGGACGAGAGCCAACCAACGTAGCTTCATCGATTTTTAGATGTTTGCCAAATAACTCACCAAGACCAAACAGAATCCTCGGTGAGAAAAAATGGGGACGAAGATGCGAAAAGGAGATCCATATCAGGACGATCGGTGACTCAATGCCGATGTCCAAACTAGGTGACCATTTAGTAAGTTTCATAAAACAATTGAAAACAAGATAAGAACGGTGACAAAACACCCTACAATAGTATAAATCATTTGCCAGTTTGATTAAATTTGTGAATGATCCAGGACCGTAACAAACACTTCTCCGTTCAACTTTAAATTAAAAAAAAAAAAAATTTGCGAATGGCATCGAGAGGGGGGCGTTTAGACGGAAAAAAAATCGACTAAGGAAAAACGAAATGGTGCAGCAAGTTCTTTGATTTCCTCATCGGAAACCCAAAGGGACGGCAAGCCACGAAAGGTAGAAAGCCTCAAATCCGGGAAAGAAGAAGAAGAACCAGTTATAGCTTCAAGAAAAGACTTAGAATGAGATATCCCACCAAAAAATCGGGATCCTTCAGTTTAATCGGCGCCATGCCGAACGGCCGGCGAAAAAGAGAGAAAAACCAAGCTAAAAGCCTTCAAGAAACAAAATACAGAAGCAAGATAAGAAACTTTCCAGAAACGGAGAGATAGAGGTAGAAATCCCCCCCCCCCCCACCGACGGGGGAGAACTCGAAACCCTAGCAGAGCGTGGTAAAGAGCTGATTACAATTTTGTTTTTATCTTTACTTTAGTTTTACTCTTTTATAGTCAAGAGTCAAAAGGTAGATTGATGAATGTATGGATTGAACTATTGGCAATTGTATGTGAATTTTGAAAAATAAATACAATTAGTTATATATCTTGATGAATATGATTTATTTACTTCTATTGATAATTATTTTAATTAAAAGATATTAGTGGTTATGGTTGATTAATTAATTAATAAATAGATACTTCTTCCAAAATTAATCCTTGGGGCGTTACACAATATCTTTTAGGGTTTTTTGTCCGTTTTTCCATCATAAAAGTTGTTATAATCATAGTAAGTGGCCTCAACTCTACTTTTGTTTTCATTAATTTTGAGTTTGGTATATTTCATCCTCCTTAAAATGATAAAAATATAATATATAACCATGCAACTTTTGGTATGTGATAGATATCATTATTATGAACATTTTGATTAGTTTATATTAAACTTTTATTGCATAAATTGATAGTTATTATTTTTTAAATTTAATGAACAGTGTACAATTTTTTTTGCATTTTAAAGAGCATTGCATTTTGTACATGAAATTGAATGTAAACTGAATAGAGAAAATACTATGACGAATACATAATATATTTACGTGTATGCAAGAAAGGCTGACTACCAACACTATAACTAATACTGGTTGGCTCTTAAAACTTAATAACATGTACAATAGGGTGGGAAGGCGGGCTTTCATTTAAATAAAAGGTTTTGTGGTGTAATATTAGATATTAGACTGTAATCGATTGACTCTTTATTTATTCATAAAAAATTATATGTTTAAATAAACAATTCATATAAATAATTGAAAGAATTGTTTGATTGATGATGGCGAATTGATAAAATAGATGGATGATAGATAAAAGAATGAAAATGCCACTTTAAAAGTTGAATGTCCTGTCCCGATAAATTTGATATTGATAAGCATATATAGTAGCATGCATAATTGTAAACATGATATGACTAATACATAAATGATAGATGTCAGACACGTGATAGATATTGTTGATGATTGATAAGTCTGATAATTGATAATTAAGACTGATGAGATATTATATATGATACACAATAATTAATTGATTAATGACATGATTAACTACATCACATGAATGACACACGTAGTTAAACTGAAAGAGTATTGATATGAACATGTAATATATAATGAGAATATGATTGATATGTATTTGGTAAGACAATTAACAATATATGAAATACATGATATGTTGACAACTACACATCGATCCTTACAATTATATGTTTACTATTTTTAGTTGATGCATTGACTTCAATTATAGATACTAGTTATTTGTTGGGATTTTAAACTCATTATATGGATTTAACATATTTTCATGCACGGGTAATGCTCTTGTAGATTAATGTTGTTTTGGGATGAAGGTTGGAGTTTCTTTATGCATCCTTTAGTCTTTCTTTTATTATTATTTTTTTTTGTCATGGTGTATTTATCATGATAAACTGTGTTGGTTGAGCATCATAGCTATTATAAATATGTTATTTGGGCTGAGAATAATGTAAATATTTAATGAATAGTAATGTATTTATACTTTTCCGTTGTTTATGCAATTTGTCTAGCTCTGGTTGAAATGTGAAATGTTCAAAATGATGTAATTCTCTCAACATTATTAGATGTTGATGCGTCATATTAATTATACGTCACATCTTTCTTTAGGTCTATTAATTTCCCTTTAGAGCTAAGATGACATAATCATAGGCTACTCCCGAATGCATCCATTATAATTGAGCTAAAGATGAATGCAAAGATGGGCCTATTAGCAATATATAAGTTTGCTATCCCAAACAAACTACCATGCTTACTTTTATGAGAATGATTTGAATCCTGATAATCCTCAAGAGTTTCTATATTCACTTTCTTATGTATAAGTTGTGCTAGTTTATAGTGAATATTATCTTTTAAGAAAATTAGTTTCAATATGATTCAAAATTTGACCATTTATAATAAAAAAATGTTAGATATAAAACAAGGACCACAACATCAAATATCTATTAGAAGTTACATATGATCATATAAAAATTCACTAAGACTGTTTTTGTCAACTTCTTAATTTACATATATTGTGTTATGACAATTGTGATATTTAATTGAATTACACTTTTCTATATTGTGCATGTTTCTTATATCTTTTAAATTGCACTGTGTCATATTTCCCATGATCCATATGCAATATAACATTAATATAATAATTAGAAAAAAAAACTAGTTTGCTGTAAAATAAAAACATTTCTTAATAAAATACTGAAAGGAATTGAAAGAAGAACTGTTCTCTCTTTTTAACAATATTTTTTCTTAGAACATCTGCAATGATTTATTTCTCCCGTCAGAAATAACTATTAAAACTTCATTGTTTTAGATTAGAGGAGCATATTCTCTATAGTTACAAGTAAAATATAGAGTCATGCGCTGTACGTCTAGCCATGGCATCAAGGAGCTTGTTGGCTACAGCTCCAGCATACACTGTTGAACCTTCACATATCTGCAGTCATATATATATGTAGATATATTAGAGAGTGATTTGTAGTGGGATTAAAATTAAGCTAGATATAATTATCATTAATCTCATTCTTAACTCAAGGTTTAATTAATGCTTCATTTGAGACGACTTTCTTACTGTTTCTTAAAGTGGTAAGAAAGCCGTTCCAAATGAAGCCTACAGCTTTCTTATTGCTTCTTAAAGCAGCTTTATAGTATCATTTTTTTTTAGTTTTGTACTAGAAAGCTGTTTTAAGAATCAGTAAGAAAGTCACCCCAAGTGAAGGACGGCTTTTTTATTGCTTCTTAAAACGGAGTTTTAGTAAAAAAAATTAATTTTTTAAATAAAACTCCATTTTAAGAAGCAATAAAAAAATAGTCCTAAATGAAACCTTATAAGTTTAATGAGGAACTCTAAGCATACTAATCTTATGTAAGTACGTATTAAGATAGGAAGATAGAAATTAAGTAGATTAATTAACTAACCTTAGCATTAAACATGAAAATGTGATAATCTCCAATATTTCCTCCAGCAACATGGTTGAGATCAAGTTGAAGTTCATCTAATGCTTTGGATACAAAGAGCAGAGTGTTCATCTTCTTCTTTTGAGTGAGCTTTATATTCACCTCATCATCGATAATCCGAACATCCACAAAGGTTTCCTTGGACTTTCTTTGGATCCATGAGCTTCGAAGAGGTCCATTAATGGCCGGAAGGTTTTCCTGATTATCTTCCTTAGCTGATCTTATTATTGTTGAGCTCTCCATGTCAGTGCAGGCTGTGGTCTCCTCAGTTCTTATTATTTGCTTGCTTCTTTCTCGGCCTAATTGCTTCTTCTCTACTAGTAGTTTCAAGTCGTCTATTGTTCGGAGGAGCTCTTTGATATAGTCTATAGCGTCTCCAACGGTGGAGGCTCGGTCAGGCTGTGGGGTTTGAAGAAAGAAAGAAAGAAAATTAATTTGCGACTAAATTAATTGAATGTATATTTATTAATATTATAGAGGAAGATTTGAAACTATATGATCAATATTTTGAAATCTCGATTGGTGATGGAGCAACATGTGAAACCGATTGGTTCGCTTCAGATTCCTAAAACTACCTCTGATGATCTCCTAACCTGAGAGAGAGAGAGAGAGAGAGAGAGATTTGGAAAGTTAAAATGGGGTTGAGAAAAATTGATTCTCAAACAAGCTTATTAGTCCAAACATAACAATTTTTCAGTTCAAAACAAAAAGCTGATCAAGTTCAAGACCAAGGGCGGAAGCAATCTTAATTTTCAGGGGGCGAACTTATAAGTAACTGTTGGTATTACCTCGAATTTGGCTTGACCCTTCAGTACAAGAAAATGGGTTAATAACAACAAAAAATATAGACAAAAAAAATGGTCGCTAAAGATATATTTTGCCTACCAAAAGTAACTAAAGCCTCTAAATAAAAAAGGAAAGTTTATATTTGTTCATATCATTGATCGTCGTATGCTTCGCAGATATATCTGGGGTTCAAGCGACAGTGCACCCTTGAGGGATTCAACCATGCAAGGGTTTATGGGGGCACCACCCCCGGAACAAATTTTAGTTGTAAGGATATTTTCAAATTAATAAATAAAAGGAGGAATTCTCTTTACTATTTCTCTTTGTATTTAGTTCATTGTTCCTTAACAATAACATCTATACACAATGTGTTTAATTATGCTAGTTGGGATCAGCAATTGCCTAAAAATCATAGTAATTTAAAACTTTTACGAGGGGCAATTGCCTAAAAATTTTTATAATAAAGATTAAAAAATAGTTTGAGGGAGACAAATCATTAAAAAAAAATCAAGCACAGATGAACAGCTTAAGAGAGAAATATCTGAAAAAGAAAGAGAGAGAGAAAAAAGTATTCCTTACTCAAAACTACAAGCATTACCTTACTGGGATTAGGAACGAGTGATCTCAAAGCAGCAAACTTCTCATTCAGCTGCACCCTCCTTTGCCTCTCCGTTGCAAAGCTCCCCTTCATTTGATCACCCTTCGCCATTAATTCTCTTCTACAATCCAACACTCCATCAAACTTCCTCCTCTCTCCTTCTCCACTTCCCATCATCCCTCCTTCCCTCTCCTCCAACCCACAAAACAACCCATAATTCTGCGGCAACAACCCATAATTCTCCGTCCCCATCGAATTCCTCGCACCGATCATCGGCTCATAAAGCATCGAGATGCCATCGAATGAGATTGAGCTCGTCGTCGGTGGATTCACCGCACATCGCGGTAGCTCAAGCATGTTTAGGAGGTCGGGTACGCTCGGCCCGCCCGGAAAGTAATTCGGGTCGGGATACAAAGGTTGTGGTAGCGATAATGGCGGTGCTAGTTGATCACTGTAACAAATGTCCCAATTTGATAGTTCAAAAGAGGGCGGAGGCAGCGAAGCTACTTCCACGTCGAAGCTGAGTTGATTGTTGATGTGATCGAGGCCTAAATCCGCCTGGGCGGTAGAGCCGTCGAGATTGAAAGAAGGAAAAATCTTATGATCTTCTAACAAATATTCATTGCTGCTGCTGCTATCTACAAGAGATGAGGGTATTATGGGCTCCTCGGCCACATGAAGAGGATCCAAATAGCTCAAATCCTCGAACATCGCCGAGGTTCTTCTCTGCGCTTCACCCTGCAAGAAATGAAATGAAAAGAGACGAAGTAGAGTAAAATTTCTGAAGATGATAAGTTAAGAGTAATGAAACTGTTATCTTTTCATCTCTTATGAATCTTTCAGACCTTAGAAAACAGTAAGAGGAGGAGGAGGAGGAGGAGGAGGAGGAGGAGGAG